GGCAGGCGGATCTTTGTGAGTTCAAGGCCAGCCTGGTCTACATAGTGAGTTCCAGGACAGCTGGGGCTACAGGGAGACCCTGTCTCAAAAAGACCAAAAAAAAAAATTTCTCCTTGTCCAAACAGATCTGGCCTTTGGCCTAGGCTTCTGAGAAGCAGTTATAACATACCTGATAGGAGTATGTGTTAAGGAGCATGTACTATTAGAACTGAGGAGGGGCCGGCTACATCCTGGTGTAAGGGAAACCCACATTAGAAAGATCATTCAGGTAGACCTGGGGAAATGGCCCAGAGGGCAAAAAGCTTGCTGTGTAAGCATAAGGATCTGTCACTGTCTCCTGTAACCCAAGTGTTGGGGAGAACAAGACAGGCAGATCCTGCTGGCCAGCCAGTCAGTCTAGCCGAAACAGTGGGCTCCAGGTTCAGTGAGAGACCCTGTCTCAAAAAATAATGTGGAAAGCAATAAAGGAAGACACCCAACATGAACTCTGGCATTCACACATGCACATATAGGCAAGCTACTTACATGTATACATACATACACACATAAAATGAGAGGGAGGGAGGGAGGGGAGAGAGGGAGGGGAGGGAGGAAGGGAGAAAGATCAGTCATGTGATTTAGAATGGGCGCACTGGGTCACACAGTGTTAGAGGACCTAGAGTCAAAGATAAATAACATAGACAATCAACCAACCAAACATGCTTTATAATGAAGCCCCTATAAAAACTCGGTACAAGGCTCAGCTTCCTGGTCAGCAGCACTCCATGTGAAATGTCAGAGTGGCTGGAGGGGTAAGGTCCATGAGTCCATGGAGAGAACGAAGTCATCTCCCATATTTGGAACTGTCCCAGAATCTACCCTGTTCTTTGGCTGATTTTAACTACATCTTTTCCCTGTAATAAATCATAACTCTGATAGCTTTGAGTGAGTTCTATGAGCCCTTCTAAAGCAAATCACTGACCCTTCTTGAACTCTGTTGGTGTCAGAAGTGAGGGCCATCTTGGTGACTATGCCCACTAACGTTATAGCTGGCCCTAAAAGCTTCACATTTAGTAAGAGACAGAATTTTGAAGACTATTGTAACAAGGAAAAGAAGGAAGTGGAGATAACATTAGTGTCCATCTTTACCACTAGCCAGTAAATAGTCATTATAGTTACAGCAGCTCATCTACATGCCTACCCTCAAATAAAAAGTAAGAAATTCACATTAAAAACCTCTCAAAAATCAACCACTACCAATTCAAGAAGGAAAAAGGAAGTGAGTAAACAAATACAGCTTGGGGTGATGGCTGGTAGAAAGAAAAGTTTGGAAAGAAATACAGCCTGAAATACTCAGAGGAAGTTTTCTAGAGAAAACTTCCAAAACATCTTTCCAAACACATTAGTGAGATGGATCCTAGTCCAGATCCTTTATGTCTAACGTTGGCGCTATAGAGCAAAAACCATGTGGCATCCCCACACAAACACAGGCATGCATAGTCAGTATAAAATCACCTGAAGCTAAAAAGCAACAGTATGAAATACGGGTTAAAGGCCCTCATATAATCACCACCAGTCCTTGAAGCAATGTGGGCAATCGCTTCTGGCTAGAAATCTCCTTTAGGAGATACAGGCTACCCATTTCTAACGCCATACGTACCAGAGTAGCAAGGTCCTCGGGCCACTACTGTTACCTCTTTCTGGTGCTTACAAGCAGCCCTTCTGAGAAAACACTCATTTTGGTAAGTGTCCCCATTTGATCCGCAGACGGGAATGTAATTTGTATGGCACTGCAAAAATAAATAAAATAAACTCTCAGGACTAGACATGAACAGTAATGGTTTACTTCACATTCACAAATGCAATACCATAGCATTATGGGTTGTCCTTTAATTTGGTTTGAAGAAAAAAAAAAGACTTTTGTCTCTGCTTCCTACTGCTTCTTAACATTCATAATGAAAATAATCAATTATTCTTAAAAAGGAGACTGGAAATCCCTATGTAAGCTACTTTATTTGTGTGTTATAAGAAAACTCATAGAAATATGAGGAAATTCTTGACACTGTTTGTGAAGAGCTACTTAGGTGATGTCACTTTAATTATCAAAATTCATTTATTCAATACTTCTAGTAGGAAAGTCCCAAGGGAAATATTAGAGAATACACAAAGAAATACACTATGAGCTCTGTTCTTAGAGACTATAATTTTGTTAAAACAGGAAAAAATATATTGCAAAACTAAATCATGTTCCAATCAATAGGATAGACAGTACGATAAACATCTGATATCTAGTACTGTGAGCCGAGGTATACATAGAAAACTTCCTCAGAGAAAGTGGGGTGTGAACTGAGCACTGAAGGATGAATAAGAATGAGGAACGTGAGGATAAAAGCAGTGACAGCCGTTTGAAAAATGACACTGGACCTACATGCTTAAAAACATAAAACTTCAGGTCCAGTGTGGCACATGTGACCTTTAATCCCAACACTCAGGAGGTAGAAGCTGTGAGTTCAAGACCAGCTGGGGCTACTGGGAAACCCGCTCTAAAAAAAAAAAAAAAAAAAAAAAAAACTTTAAAGCTTCCACAGATCAAAAATCACATAGACTGGCTGGAGAGATGGCTCAGTGGGTTAAGAGCACTCACTGCTCTTGCAAGTGCCATAAGTTTGGTTCCCATCAGGCAGTTCACAACTGCCTATAACTCCAGTTCCAGGGGCTCTGAGCCCCCTCTTTGCACGTATGCACAAACCCACATAAGCACACATGCATATATATATAATTAAAAGTAAAATAAATAACTCTTAAGAAATAACAATAAGGGCTGGAGAGATGGCTCAGCAGTTAAGAGCACTGACTGCTCTTGCAGAGGACCTGGGTTTGATTCTCAGCACCCACATAGCAGCTAACAACTGTCTGTAACTCCAGTTCCAGGGGATTCAACACCCTCTTCTGACCTCCACAAGCACTGCAGGACAGGGTTACACTTACATACATGTAGGCAATACACTCATACACATAAAATAAAAATAAAAAATAAAATATTAAAAAACAAATAACATAAATAACTTAAGTTTTAAAGTCTGAGGAAAGAGTTACAACACGATGCAAGCTGTTATCATTAGACAAAAAGGAATAATACAGCCGGGCATGGTGGCACACATCTTTTATCCCAGCACTTGGGAGGCAGAGGCAGGCGGATCTCTATGAGTTCAAGGCCAGCCTGGTCTACATAGTGAGTTCCAGGACAGCTGAGGCTACAGGGAGACAAAAAAAAAAAAAAAAAGAGGGATCATACATATTTTTAAAAAACAGGCCAAAGACAAAGCATTGTAGAAAAAGTATAAGCAGTCAATTAAAGTATAAAAAAGCAATTAACCATCATTCACAATCAGTATTGTACATGGAAAATGAGAATCTCGAGTGGCAGGGGTCCTTAAGATAGGGTCTTACTGTGTAGTCCAGGCTAGCCTGGAACTCTCCCCCACCTTCACCTCCCCAGTGCTGGGATTACAGGCGTGTGTCACCATGCACAGCTTGCCCTTTTATTTTTTTTTAACATTTTATTTATTATTTTATTTTATGTGTATGCATGTATTGCCTGCATGTAGGTAAGTGCACCCATGGAGGACAGAAGAGACTGTCGGATCCCCTGGAACTGAAGTTACAGACAGTTGTTAGCTGCCATGTGGATGCTGGGATTTGAACCTGAGTCTTCTACAAGAAGACCCCTCTCCAGCCCCCACAGCTTGTCCTTTTAAAAACATATTACCTGGCCAGGCGTGGTGGTGCACGCCTTTAATCCCAGCACTCTGAGGCAGAGGCAGGTGGATCTCTGTGAGTTCAAGGCCAGCCTGGTCTACATAGTGAGTTCCAGGACAGCTGGGGCTATAGGGAGACCCTGTCTCAAAAAGGCCAAAAAAAAAAAAACACACACATATTATCTATCCATGAAACTGAATGCAAAATTTTTAAATACTATAAAACAGAGCAAGAAAATGCTGTATTTATATTCTAATTTAGAAAAATATGCTTTTTTTTTTGTCTTTTTGAGACAGGGTCTCTCTCTAGCCCCAGCTGGCCAGTAACTCACATATAAATCAGGTTGGCCTTGAACTCACAAATATTCCTCCTACCTCTGCCTCCCAAGTGCTAGGATTAAAGGTGTGCACCTGCATAAATTCTAAAAAAACTGCCAATAAACTTTTCATAGTATCTGCCCTTTATTTTTATATAAATTCTAGAAATTTCAATAAACCTTTTATATTATTTCTTTAATTTTTTTATATTTCTCAATTTTCTTCAATGAACAAGATTTGCTTTTACTATTTCCCTACTTTTAGAAAGTAGCCAGACTTACTTTAGGAAGAACAAATCTGGCATATTCCCAAAGGCCAAACACTGGTAAAGCAATCTCTAACTAATAAAATATTTTATAATCAAGTAGATTTTACTATATATTCAATATGAGTCAAGTCTTACATAAATGTTTATTAAAATTAAAATTTTTGTCTAGAGTTTAAAATTCAAACTTCATCATAAGTAGGTGTAAGCATCTGAGTACTATATTATCTTCTAACATTATCATTCTCAAGCAAGGAAATTCTGAAAGATATCATTAATAACCTTTTCTTTTCCTTTATATTAAAATTATACACTATATTCATTTCTTTAATCATGTTTATATAGGTTACATTATCAACAAATTTCATTTAAAGATGATGCAGAAATGGAATAGAAATTATTGGCTATTAATAGAGAATATAAAGTCTGATAAGACTGAGAATCATGTTTATGAAACAGTATCTATCTAGTAAGCACAGGCTGCAGTTTTAAATGTCCTACTGAGTTAAAATATTTTATATATTATTTTTATTTTGTGTGTATGAGTGTATTGCCTGCATGTGTGTAAGTGCACCCGTGCTGCACAGTGCCCACGGAGGTCAGAAGAGAGTGCTGGATTCTCCTGGAATTGGAATTATGGACAACTGTCAGCCACCATGTGGGTGCTGGGAATCAAACCCGAGTCCTCTGGAAGAACAGCCAGTGCTTAACCACTGAGCCATCTCCCCAGCCCCCCTACTGGTCAGTGAACCAAGTAAAGCAGGCTGACCTCCCCAGGGGGATAGGTATGATCCAATTTGTTGAGAAACTGAATAGAAAAGAAAGAGGAAGGAAAGTTTTTCTCTGCTTGACTAAGCTGGGACACTGGCCTTCAGATCTCTAGTTTCAGACAGGGACTTACAGCACTAGATTTCCTGGTCTTTAGCATGCAGATAACAGGTAGAGCCTCTGTAATCCAATAAGCCAGCTCTCTGTAATTCTCTTCTTCCAGCTCTTCCTCACACACTCGTGGGTATGTATGTATATATGTATGTATCTGTGTATCGATGGATCCTATTGAGTCTTTGCCTCTGGAAACCTCTAATACAAACATCTGCTAAGAGGACACGGAAGCTAGCAGAACAGAGGCTGATAAACACAGGAGGATAGATAGCCAGGGGAACTCTAGATAGAACAAGAAAGAAAGAAAATGGGGGGAAAAGTCAAGGACACTAAGTTTTAAGGGAAAGGTACAATATTAATATTTTTCTTTATACAAAATTAGTAAGTACAGCTTTGTTTATATGATAGCAATAGATTTTATTAGCAGACTAACAAAATTTGTAGGCATTGTATATCATATACAATTCTCCTATTTCCTGTTAAAATGAAGTTAAACCAAGGTCCAGAAAGCTTGTAGTGGCATGGAAAGCATGCTGACTTATAAGCAGTCTTTTAAATGAGCCGAATGGCATTGCTAATGTTTACGTAGCAGAGAGATGTCTAGTGGACATATCGAGTCATTGCTTTTAAGGTGACAATAACTTGGGTTTAATGAATCTATACTCTTACAGAAAGGCAGATGGTCAAAGAAGTCTTCATCAAGCCCTCAAGGAGTTTGTCCCTACAAGGCAAAGAGATCATCTTCACATCTTCGCATCTTTAGCATCTGGCCTGGGACACAGCACACAGAAGCATGGATAGGTGCTATGTACTGATCTGGGTTCTAACTTCCTTTTCCTGTTTTACCATAGGTAAGAACACAAAGGACACAAGACAGATTATGGGGAGATTTTTTTCAGCTGTTCAACCATGTTGAAAAAGGCCACTTCTTTATAATCTTAAAGAATTTCAAGAACTTGCAAAGAACAAAGGAAAGCAGAACCACAGACAAAGACAAATCTAATATAAAATTTTAAAATGAGGGCTGGGCTGCAGAGATGGCTCAGTGGTTATGAGCTGCTCTTGCGGAGTACCTGGGTTCAAGTCCCAGCACCTACAAGATGACTAACAGCCATTCCTATCTCCAGTTCCACGGGACCCGATACCCTCTTCTGGCCTCCACAAGCATTGTATGCACATGATGCACTTACATACATGCAGGCAAAACATTCATACACATAAAATAAAAATAAATCAAAAGTGTATATATGTCAAAAATAATATGAAAGTGAAAGATACAATTGTTATCTGCCAATTAAAACTAAGTAATTTGTGGGGGATGCAGCCCACGAGTAGAGTGCTTATCCAGCATACATTATAGGTCTGGGTTCAACACCCAGCAACACAAAAATGAATAAATAATTTCTGGTTGGCTATCATGTTACTAGCCATCTCTAAGTAAATACTGCTAAGTGATTTATGTGCTTACCAAGGAAACTAAACCACATATATGTTTATACACTTGAAATATTTCTAGAAAAAATATAAATAATAACATCTTGCCTCTGAAAAGAGCAGTTTATAATCTGAGTGTATGGGAGACATTTTATTCATTATGTATCTGTTTACATTGCCTAAATTGTTTACTGTGGGCATACATTAGTTTAGTCTTTTCAAAAACACTTAAGAACAGCAGGTTTTTGTGAGGGATTTTATGCATTAAAATTCTCAGCATCTTAAGTATTCAAATATTGTATATGTATACACATTCACATACATGCATCCTTACAAATTAAACAAAGGTAAAAAGAAAGGCAGGTCCAGTCTGTAATCCCAGCACTTGGAAGGGGGAGGCAGAAGGATCAGAGGTTCAAGGTCATCCTCAACTGCATAGCAAATTCAAGGTTAGCCTGGACTACATGAGACCCAGTCTCAAAAAAAAAAAAAAAAAAAAAAAAACTCCGAAAAAGCATTATGAAATATGGTGAATAATACGTGGTGGCAGCAAATATTCATTTTATCTAATAATGAAATGCAAATAAATTTCTCTGTCTTTCATATTTACAAAATTTAAACAGACCAATAAAATCCACTACCAAGAAGCTGAAGAAAACAAGCAGTATGATAAACTGCTATTGGCTGGTTTTGCATACAAGTATCCCATTGGCCCGACAATTCCACACCAAGGATTTTAACCTATGGAAATACTTAGAACAGCTAGAGTAGAGAACAGCCAGGTTTTCCTCATCCTACATCTCTGTGGGGGGGAGGGGAAATATTTCTGACCTGAGGAGGACAGAATGGAAGGGAAGAGGAGAAAGGAAAGTCAGAAGGGAGATCCAGATGCTGTGTAGGAACTCAGAACTAACTTCTGGCTGGCCCTGAACCCACACAGGAGGGGCAGATGCCAAGTTCCTCCCACCAGGGCTGAAAAAAATGAACTAACATTTCAAACTAAGGGTAGAATCTGCAATTTTCATTGTTTAACCGCCTCAAAAATAACAACAATCTTCAAACAAACAACAGAATTGAGACACTAAATCATATTTACTATGTGTAGAGGAAATTCAAAAGGACTTAAGACATAGGAAAACACAAATGAAAAGCTGAATGTTTTTTCTAACATGAGGAGAGAAATTTTAAGGCAGCCATAAAATCTAAGCTCAAGGAAAGCATGTTTGTAATGAATGAAAAGATAGGAAATCCTTGCTGGTGGGATAGAGAGCAACTACATAGTCTAGAAATAAAAAAAAATCTTGAAATTAAAACTCACTGGATAGTAAGAATGTAGAGAACAGAGATGGGCTCAATACTTAAATTCTCTACTCCTCTTAAGGAAAATAAACAAGATGACTTATAGTTTACAAAGAAGTTTCACATGCAAGCCCTCTTTCCCACTATGATTCATATTACATTTTGAGAATATGAAATGTACCTTCTCTGTTTAGAAGGAACATTCATGAGGAAATAATTTTCTGAGAACACTAGGTTAATGGAAACAAGAACTCTACTATGCCTTTATCCTGGTTTCTGAACCCATTCCTCTCAAAATTCAAAATGGCAGGCTCATTCAGAACAAGAAGTGAGAAAGTCTAGCTCCATCTTTATTTCACCTCCAGTTCTGAATCAGGGATCATCTTATGAGAAACACTCTGAAGCCACATTACAATCTAATCACAGCACACTAGCACATAGGAACTGCCAGATGCTTCAGTTTTTCAGGCAATAAAATCACAACTAAAACTGTGAAGGAACAGCAGCATGCCCACTTCTGGTTTGAGGTTCAGCCTCTTAATTTCTTCCAAGCTCATCTCTAAGCCTGACTTTCCCTGAGGCTCCACGTAGGTTCTAAGGCCTTGAGGCAGCGTGCAAGAATGGAAGAAAAAAGCCAGGCAAAGAAAGGGAAAACATGCCAAGCTGTTAAATAAGAGGCTCCACCGAAACCTGGACCCGTTTCCCTACTTTTGCAATCACTTTGATGTTTCTTTAATATTTTCCCAAAGCATGTTCACGTCTATTATGGTCAGTCTGTCTTCTTTAATTTCTGGAAAGAAACATGGAAAGTACAAATCACAGGGCTTCATCTGACAAGAAAGAACTAGTGGGCTGTGAGTCAAACCTCCTTAAGGGGTTCAAGGTGTTATAAAGCCTTTTAATTTGAAGAATGTAGGACTGTAAAATTGGAAAAAAAAAATTAAAATAAGTTTAATTTTCTCACCTGAAATTGGCAGGCGCATTTCAAACCATCTCCATCTTCTTTGCAGACGCCTCCATATTTACAGGACGATTCATCACACACTCTGACATCAGACTCTCTCACATTTAATTCTGCAAGAGAGGAAAACATTGTTTCATGTTTGTATACATGTACAATATATACAGAGAAATAAAAGAGCAAATGTATAGGGTATCCCATTCACCCATGAATGCTAATAAGACAATATACAAAAAAGCAAGTTCTAAGTCCTGGATAGCTTAGTGGTACCTGCTGTACAACCATGAGGACCCTGCTGTACAACCATGAGGACCAGAGCTTGGGTCCTAGCACCAATGTAACAAGTTGGGTATCTTATTACCCCTGTAACCTCAGCACCAAGGGGCACAGAGACAATAGGATCTCTGGGACATGCTGGCTTCCAGCCTGAGAAAGCTGTGACCCCCCCACCCCCAACCCCCAACCCAGAGATCAGGAAAAACCTTCAAAGGAACAAGTGGAGAGTGATAGAGGAGGTCACCCAACGCCATCTTCTGGACTCTAGATTAGTACACAGGCACAGACATATGTGCATGCTCTCACACAGACACAAATAATATTAAAAAAAAAAAAAAAAAAAAAAAAGTTCTTGGGCCAGGAGCTATGAAGCATGACTTTATTCCCAGCACTCAGGAAGCAGAGGCAGATAGATCATTGTGAAATTGAAGCCAGCCTAGGATGTTCTGCATAATGAGTTCCAGGCCAGCTGGGGGGGTACATAGTGAGACTCTGTCTCAAAACAAAAAGGAAAAAAAAAGTTCTTATAGGTCCCAAAATGTTCAATATACCCCAAGAGACTCTTATATTGGTATCCCTAAAAGGAACCACCCCAAAAGAAACTCAAAATGTCAAAATTTAACATAATTTCTAAATATAATCTATGGAATTTTTCTATTTGGGCCTGCCAAACACTTAAGATACTCTTATTATTGTCTTGATATTTTAGATTCTTTCTTTGGTAAGCAACTTTTAAGGATAAATTTTAGACAATCAGCATTCATTCTAGACAGATAAATAATTTTACTTATAAGGAATCATAAAATTAACCTGCATTTCATACAAAAGGTAGCTATGGAACATTTATATACACAAAAATTAAAGAGATTCCAGATCATTCTCCACTTAAAACTTTCAAATGGCTAATCTGATTCTACACCACAGAGTCAATCAATGATTTGGTTCCTGCTCTAAGATTGCCAGTCCTGAGCTAGATGAACCGTATTAAACGTCTCAGAAACCAAGTAAGTTGCTTCAAGGCTAGCGCTACTACGTCAGGTCAGCCAGTCATGTAGAACTGGGTGAGAATCATGACAATGTAATTTTCCTATCTTGCCACTGGGAATGGAAGCCACAACAAATGCACTTACACAAACAGCAAACAAATGTCTGACTTTAAGTGTGCATCTGGTTGTACAGAGGCCTAAGCAAACCTCAGGCTGCCTGCAGTTCAGCAGCTGAGGAGCTGTGGGGTGACCACAAGTACTCTTATCTACATCATGATAAAGCAGGTCCTGGCAAACAGATCCACGTCCCCAGAGATCCACTGTCCCTGCATATTTTCTATTCCTAGTTTTCAAAGCAGCTCATGGACTGAGTCAAGGAGACTCAATGTCCAGTGACATTCACACTAGTGACATCTCACTGGCCTCTCTGCCGCTGCTGCTCTCACTGATATGCAAGGGTGTGTCAGGTATGCTGCATCTAAGGGCTGGCAATCAAGAAACTGACAGTCAACAGTACTTACATGAGTCATCATTCTGAACCACCAAGCACTGCATCAGGATAAGAACAGTCTATGTAACTATGGGTTACACAATTACTTTTTTGTTTTCTTAAATAGGTCTCAAGTGCACAGAATTATATTACTCTAAAGTTCAAGAATTTGCACTAAAAAGACAACCAATACAGCTGTTTTACTGTTCTGTTCTACAAACTATTCCACCTACAGAAGATAGTTTTATTCCTTCAGCTGGGGCTGTGAGGGTCTTAGATGCTTGGCTTTCTTCTCCCAATGTTTGCTTGCCCCTCCCCTTCCCCGTTGACCATATACTTAGCTCTTGAGACTCAATCTTTGATATGGGGATTGATGGATTGATTGATTGATTCTTATATGAGTATTTATAGGTCCAGTTCCAAATACTATCAAAAATACAGCTTTAGACCCAAAGAAGAGATCCTGTTGTCTATAGTTAGAGTGGCCATCATACACACATAAAGATGAAAGCCACAGGCTCAAAGGAGCAGAGCACAAAGATAGGAGACAAGAATCATGGGATCACCACACCACTGTGGGTCCATGCCTCCAGATTGTTATGCTTCCAGAAAATACACAAATGAATACATTTTAAAAAATTAAGCCCTCACCCTGTTAGCCACTGTTGACCAGGTCACCAACATAATAGTCCCATGCAAACTTATATAGACAGGTATTTCCAAACAAAAGGTTTCTATCCTCTTGCTACATCATACATTTACGAGTTTGTCAAGAGCACCTTAACTTCCTAGGGCTCTGCCTGAGTTCAAATACACTCCAGAAGGGCTCTACTCTGAGATTCTTTTCTGAATGTTCTTTTCAAACACTGCACAGTACCAGGCATGAAGAGGGCCCTCTGCTACCTGTTAGTGATGATGATCATTACACACCTGCCTTCTTGAACCCAAAATGGAAATTCCACAAAATGGATGAGCCATTACTAAGGCCCTCAAAACCCAATTCTCCACACAGAAATACTGTACACAAAGCAACACTCAGAAGAGTGGCTCAAAACAAAAATATTTTGCTCTGGTTGCAAATCTGCCCATGATCTATTTCTCAGAATGTAAAACCTGTCTCAAATTTCATTAGCATTTCAAATGTGGAAAACAATGCACGTGAGGGAAAAAGAACCCTGCTTCTTGGGGACCTCAAGAGCTGCTAGAATTTCCAATTTTGGGCACTACTGACTAGAGGTTCAGGCTGCAGTTCAAAACAGGACTAGCAGCCCTCCAGAATGATCTGGCTTTTCTACCTCCCTCCCAGCAAACAGTTCTTTTTAGCTAAAATTAAGGAGAACCAAAACGGAGGAAACTCTATAAGATATGACCACAGAACTCAGGGCATCTAAATCTGGGCTATTCATTTGAGACAGATGATTGCTGCTGGGCTGGCTAGCCTGGGCATTGGCAGAGTGCTGAGTGACATCCCTGGCCTCTAGTCACTAGGTTCCAGTAGGATCACCCCAGCTCTGACAAGCAAAACGTCTTCAGGCTTTACCAAATGCCCCCAGGAGAGCCAAGAGCACTCCCAATGACACTGAATGAACGAAATCAATGGCTTGACATTGATTCTTCTTGAGCAGCATGATGTCATCTACAAACGCTGAGCGGGAAGCATAGCTGTCCTGGGACACATGTGGCCTATGGGTCGCAGGTGGACACACCTACAACACAACCACTATAAGGAAAATGACTCAAAAGAGCAGCAACCTGCAAGATCGTAGCATGTTCCCACAGCCATTTTCCATTTCAGCGGTGGGGCCTCCAAACTATGCCAAGCTAAGGTTCAGAGAAGAGGCCCCAGATGTAATAATGCCTTGACTTCCAGGGTAGGTGTCTTCCTTGGCCTTTAGAGAACCAGGCTTTTCTTCAAGGTCAACAAAATCTCTTATTCTAAAGATCTGAGAGCTTTTCCTTAAGTCTTCCATCTTTGTTTGGTTTTTTTCATTTATTTATTGGGAGTGGGGGTGTATACTACAGTGCACATGTGGAGTCAAGGGGACAACCTTCCTGAGTCTACCATGTGGGTTCTGAGGATGGAACTCAGGTCATCAGTCTTGGCAACAAGCACCTGTACCTGTTGAGCCAGCTCACTGGCCCTCCAACTCTTTTCTGGATCTTTCTATAGCAGACGGTACTCCTGAACCACCCCCTGCCCCATCTAGTCCAATAATCTTTATTACCCTCCCACTCTGACCACTTCTCACTTGATCACTCCTTTTCCTTCATCTACTGTCTAGTCCACAACCATAATGTTCTTAGACTGTCTCCAGCTTAACCAACTGTTCAGATTAATCACAGGATGCAGTTCTCCTAGGCCATCAGACCAAGGACCATGGCACAAGGAGCCCTCAAGCCTACATCCTCACAAGGCACATTCAAGCTCCCATGGATGCCAGGAGCACTTCAGCTCCCACCAGGGGGTGCTGTTCTCCTGCTTCCATGTCACCCAGCTGAGTTACGTCCCCTTCATGTGTGTCATTACGTGGCGTTGACATTTCATAGGAGTGAAAATAAATTGTGCTTATGACAGCTAAACTGAGAATTTTAAAAGGTGAATTATTTTAAAGACAAATGCATTCACATTTACAATTCTGCATCCACAAGTCTCTAAGTTCCTTTTCAAAAGAATGAAAAATAGAATTCGTATCAATACATTATGAATGTGCTTTATTCGAGGAAACTGCTTTCAGAGAAAAATTCTGTGCCTGTTTTCAAAATATCATTTAATAAATGTTTTTAGATTAAAATGCTAAATGCATTTATGAATCCTTTTTGTGATTCCTCACCTAAAATAACTCAACAAATAAAATATCAGAATCCTACTGACTATAACAGGGTTCCAAACCACATACAAAAATGTTCTGTCTTTTTGGTTGTCTACCGGGTCATCCTGTCTCCATCTTTCCCTGGCAGCATTCACCATAATACTGGTAACTTCAAATCCTGCATGACTTTCCCAATCTTACTAAAACCAAGTTCACTTGTTTTCACTGCCTATCTCCAGTCTTAGAGCAATGCTAGGGAGAACCCTACACAAGGCTCCATGAGGTCTCATTAACATAGAAACCTTTCGTTCATCTCTGGTTGATTCCTGACTGAGCCCTCACAAGGCATGTTCAAAGAAAAAAATTCAGTGGTTTTATAGTCATTATCTATATGTTATTAGTATTCGGAGAAAACATCTTTTTTCACAAAAGCATACCAAGCCACGCTGGGGATGGAACTCAGGTCATCAAGCTTGGCAGCAAGCGCCTTTACCTGTTGAGCCATTTCACTGGCCCTCCAACTCTTTTCTGGATCTTTCTATAGCAGATGG